ATATATATATATATATATATATTTGTATATATATGTGGATGTAGATAAGAGAAGATCTAGAGGAATCATGGAATTGTTGGTTGTGTAGGCATTATCGAACGGGAGATACAAAAGTTGCCTTCATAGGGCAGTGGTGAACAAGTACAAGGAGAGAAAGTCATTGGCATTCTTTCTATGCCCCAAAGAAGACAAGTTGGTGAGTGCCCCCGATGATATTGTTCGCTTGGATGGGACGAAACAGTATCCCGATTTTACATGGTCACATTTTCTTCTATTCACGCAAAAGTACTACAGAGCAGACGAAGCTACACTGCCAAACTTCATCAAGTGGTTGCAATCCTCCAAAACCACTATCTAGCTTTACACTACCCTACAAACTTCTTCTGTTCTACCACTTTACTTTTCCATCGCATCTAAATTCCTTCCCTACGTACACTTCAACTTTTTTATGTCACTTAGCCATATGTGTACTGCATGCATGTCTTTCCAATCCTCCTTTTAATTAACAAGTATCTATTTGTCTTTCAAGATCACATTCAACGTATCTCGTATCCGTGAAATCAAACGAACAAACTGTATATTAATTTAATTCCACCCGCTGAAGATAGAGTGAAGTCATGCATAAACACTACAACAAAATTTGATATTAACGATAATTATTTAATAATAATAATTCAATTATCACTATTTAATTATATAATATAAATATTAATGGTTAATATATAATAACTACTAAAAATGTATTTATATTACACTAAAATTTATTATTAACAATAATTATTTATTAGAAAAAACTTAAGTCCCACATCGATTAGAGATAAGATAATTAAATAATATATAAGTGAGTAATAACTATCATTTTATAAGTTTATTTTATAGGGTTGAGTTAGACTCCTAATTCACTATTATAAATTGGTATCATATCACCCACTATTACCAAGTTTAATAGATAAAATAATTAGAGGGCGACTTTCACCTTATAAATCACACATCTCTTAAGGGACAAGATAATTAAAAAATATATAGAAGACGACCCTCATCTTACAAATCTCATATCGACTAGAAATAAAAAAGTCACTAAATGGATAGAAAGGAGACAATTGAAAAAAATAACTTTTAAATAGCCTTTAAAATGACTACTAGAATGACTACTAGAATTGTCACTAAAAATAATAAGTTTTCTCGACAATTTAGTAGGTCTTTACCAGCATTTTATATAAATGCCGATAATAGCATTAGGGACCCTAGATACACTGGCCATTATTTAAATTTTGGTAAAAAAAATATTGACTATTTATATGGCTGCTAAATAATAAATTAATTACCACAAAAAACTAATTTTGGTGTAATGAAATTGGATACCAATGTGAATGTGTGTCTCCAATTTGAAACTGCATTTAGACAGTTAATTTGCTGCCAATCTCCAACCATATATCACTGCTTTTATATATACTAGCGGGGCCAAGGCATTTCGTGCCTCTATATGTATTTTATCTTCAAATTTAAAATAACTCATGAATTGAACGAATTCATTTGTTGACATATAATCATATAAATAGTTTTACATGATCATTGTTCATTGATGAAGCACATATTTTTTATTTTTTTAAATCAAATTGAAGGAAAGTTTTGAAATTTAACGTGAAACATGAAAATATTCTCGAGGGTGACTTTGATTTAAAATACTTCTTATATGCCAAAAAATTTAAAATAAAAATATCAATGGTAGAAAAAGCAGAAAAAATAATGGAGGAATTACTTTAGTAGAAGCAAAAGGGACCACAGAGTATTGGATCTCAACTGTATTGTAAAATTTTGATGACGCAAACGCAAGCAAAACATTAAAAAAAAAATTGAAAATCAAATTGAAACTAAATTATTGCCATTTACTCCACAAATTCAAATTTCATTTCGACATACATACCTACAATTTCACAAATTATAATTTCTAACATATTTAATTGAAGATGATTTAGAAACAAATACTTCTTAATGATGTAGTTATCATAATCAAAGTATTATTGTTCTTCACCATGTTTTAATATATACTAAAATTTCAATAGAAAAAGAAACAAAGAAATTCATTAAAAAAAATATTGGAACATTAAAGAAGATGAGTTAAAATATATTACAACTTGCTTCGAAATATGATTCATACCAAGATATAGTGTGATTGAGTTTGAAATATAGGAAAATTTGAGAACCGATCGGGATAAAAAAAATTGTAGAGATTGATAATGTAAAAAAATGTACGAAACAAGGAGAAAGAATTTTTAAGAGTGAAAAGATAAAAATAAATAAAAGCATAGGTATGTTCAACGGTTATTGTTTTAAAAGAAAATAGTTATTGTTTCAAAAGAAAATAGTTATTATTTTAAATTAAAAGAGAGTTACCACCAATAAAGATTAAAATAGGATAAAGAAAAATGGAGACTAATAAATTTTTGTATCCTTTTGTCTTAATTTTAAGTTATATACAAATTATATAAGTTATAAATTATATTGAATAATCACATGTTTTAAGGGTAAAATAGAAAATTAAATGTGGATATCAAAAGCATTAATATATGTATTGTTATATGAGTTAATCACCTATACACTGCTAGTGTAAAAATTTTTTACACTGACAACTAATTATATCTTTTAATTGTGTCATGTCACTGTTAAAAATAAATGTGTTTATAGTGACATGACACAATTAAAAGATATAATTAGTTACCAGTGTCAAAAAATTATACACTGGCAGTGTATAGGTGATTAACTCTTGTTATATATTATAAATTATAGATTATGGATTATAGATTGTAAATTAAAGATGATAAATTATAGATTATGGATGTTATATAGATGCATGTTATAAATACTAAAATACAATATAAATTTTAAAACATTGGTAAACAAATAATGTATGTCTACCACCATATAGAATATTGAAAATTATAAAAAGAGTTAAACATGAACTTAATTCAGTCCAATAGAAAGAATATAAAGAAAGAAAGAAAAAAAATATGATAGAATATATACCCAAAACCATCAAAGAAGCAACATTGAACAAAATGACTATATTTCTTCTCTAAACTTCCAATAAAATCGTATATCTAAGAATTAATATTATGAAAAACAATTTAAATAAAAAATATAATATAAAAACTAAAAATAAACTATATCAATAAATAAATAGTTTAAAAATAAATAATATGAGACAAATATCATAAATGAATATGGAAAAATCATAACAGATTTTATATATATATAAACCTTTTTTCCGTACTTTTGTATTTTTGGACGAGGAAAGAATAACGGGACGGAAGTAGGAGCAAGGCTCATTGATTGAGTGATTAATGCATTACGTACTAACATGACATATTCTTCTATAGAATTCGTTTGCCTGAAGTCCCACTCAGATCTACCAAATCAAGTAATAGGTTATAGGATTGCTACCTATAAACCACGATGCACTAATAAAATCATGTAATTAACATTTTTATCAATAAATACAAGGATAATTCTAAGGATTTAATGGTCATGTAGCAATGTCTAGGTAAAGTTCTTTAAATAAAAAAAATCACAATTTGTATAATTTTTAAGTAATTATTTAAAAATTTAAAAATTTATTATTTATAATTTATTATGATTAGAAGACAGTGTAAAATTGTTTAATCACCTTTTTTTCTTTCTTTTTCATCACATGCCATTTTTTCTTTGTCCTTTCTATTTAAAAATTTAAATCACATTAATTAGAAATTATATTACTATAATATATATAAATATGAAATAACCTTCACCTCACGTCTCTCTCTTTCTTTCTTATTCTTTTTTCTTCTTCTTGTTTATAAACCCATTTTGAGATGAACATTTATTGTTACTTAATGTAATTTGTAGATTTAATGGTGATACATAATGAACTAATTATAAATCACATTTAATTTGTATAACTTTAAAAGTAATTATTATAAAAGTTAACAAACTTATCATTTATATAAATTATGATTCGATGACACCCACTATAAAACTATTTTACTTAGTGTATCACCATTAAACCTTTAATTTATTGCCTAATTATGCATAGTTATTATCATAATAAAGTGAATAATATTAACTTACAATTACTAAGCCACGTTGGATTTCATTTAAAGAACAATATTATTTTTTACTATAAATATAATATTTTAATTTTAATTAAAAGTTAAAATCTATTAAAATATTTTTTATTTTTAATATTATTGTTTTCTTATACAACTAATTAACTACAAGTAGTATCATTCATAAACACTTTGTCAATATTTTCTATTTAACTTTGAATGATATATTAATGATGGACCAAACATTGTTTATTCTCAAAGTCAAAGGACCAACTTTTTAGTAAATTTTTTTAATTTGGATACAAAAATAATATATTCACGAAATTATATAAAAAAAATCATATTTAAATTATTATTTTTACAGTAAAACCATTTTTATTTATCACCATCACACGTGTGATGTTCATAATTTTAAAACTGAGTAACAATATTTCATTTTTTTTTTAATATTCAAGAACAAAATTTTGACGATAACTTAAGTCATGGATATGATACATTATTTACGTCATTGTATTCTCGTCGGACAAAGAAAAATCTGACGTTAAAACAATGCAGTGAAATTTTTGTAATTATAATCAAGTTTTTTTACGTCGAACTTCATAAAGGCCAACGTAAATTTGAAAATCTACGTCGGATATAGCTTGTGTCCGACGTAGATTTTCCAATTTACATCGGCCCCTATGATGTCTAACGTAAAATATCTACAAATTTCAAATTTTTTCGCACGCGCGTCAATATTTAAACAACAAAGCTTTGAATGTATGTGCAAATTGACTCTTCTGAGTTAAAATTTCGTTTGAGTGTATTGCATATGAGTGTACGTTTGGGTGGTTCTTGAGTTTTTGACCGATTGTATTGGCCTCGCGTTTGAGGTTAGTTTAGAAAGTCCTTTCTTAATATATTAGCTAATTTGTTGAAAATAAATATATGTATTGATCTATTAATATATTAGTTAATATTATCTTCTTCTTCGCGTTTGGGTGAATCATCCTTTATTAATATATTAGTTAATATCAAGTAGAAAATTCTTTGCGTTTGGGTGGATCTCCAAGCAGAACGGCTCGTTCTGCTTGCACTCGTTATGTTTTTTTTTGTTTACAACTTTTTTACGTCGGCTATCACAATCGACGTAAATTTACGCCTCCCACATTAACGTCAGACTTTTTTCTGACATAAAAAACTTAAAATAACTGACGTAAATTACCCTTTTTATACTAATGTAAGTACAATTTATATGTTTCTTTTCTAGGTCACTTATTTATAATTAAGATTTCGGACAGAAAAAAAATGTCACATATACTAGACAAATAAAAAAGTTAGTCAACAAGTTTGTACTCGTAATATAGTCATTGTCTACGAGAATTAATTTATCTGTTATTATAAAGTTTATGATTCTACATTAATATAT